GTGGAAGAATAAACTCAGACACTAGAAATTTTCCTCTGATGTGGCCTTATAAAATCATTGTCACTGCAATTTTGGTTCAGTAGTCTGTTGCCTTTTTTATTCATTTTATGGTGGCATTGTGCTTTACACCAAGTAATCAGGTGATCAGTAATGACACCCTTGGGGAAACCAAGTAAAATTTTGTCTTAGTTATTTCCCTGAATTTATTAGAGAGCTTAGAAATTCTTACAGCGGCAGACAACCAACACCAATCCGATTTGCTGGCTTTTCCAGCTTCTACAGGAAAACACAAAACTGCTTAAGACTGACATAACCAGAAACAAACTCAGTCCAGAAGTTTAACAGGAAAACTACACCTAAACAGCAGCAGTCACACCCCAAAGAAACAGCAGAAAAGGCGAAAGGTATAGCTTTGACTCGGTTTGTCTCATCAGTTAAGCTGCAAAGATGCCCATTTACATAATTTGGTGTTTAACATGCTTTGATGAAACTTACTGCTTTCTTGTGATAGAATTTGATTTGATTTGCCATAGCATCTAATGCTATTGAGGTGATATTCCCATGCGCAACAACATATTGCAATAAATTTGAAATGTTAAAGCATACTCCTATTCTCTCTGGTAATGTTATATAATATTATGCTAGTGCAGAGTGATATCCATAAAAATCCGATATTTAGGCAGCAGTTCCATGAGATGTGTGCAAAAGTTGGAGTAGATCCGCTGGCATCTAATAAAGGAGTTTGGGCAGAACTTCTAGGGATTGGTGACTTCTAGTATGAGATTGGTTGGTATACTCACTTTAAGCTTTCTTGTGGGTTCTTCTGGTCTTGCAAGTAAAATTTGATATTTGTATCTTCTATACTCTGCTTATTATCCATGTTTTTTTTTCTGGCAGGAGTTCAGATAGTAGACATATACATTGCAACCAGATCACATAATGGTGGTCTGATTGACTTGCTAGATCTCCGCAAACTGCTCTGTCAGAAGAGAAAAGCTACTCTTGAATCTTTGTCTGAAGATGACTGTTTACGTGCTATAAGTAAGCTAAAAGTATGACTTGTAAGCTTGAGTGATCCTTTTATGATTTATATTTTGTAAGTTTAGAATTGGATGCACATTGTTTCTACGTACAAGTTTGCATTTTAAGAAAAAGGAAGTCAATACTCGGTAAGAGTTTTAGCTCATCTGGTCCTCCCTTTGTGATTTTACAGGTCCTTGGTAGTGGCTTTGAAGTAATTTCGGTTGGGAGGAGAAAGCTGGTCCGATCTGTTCCTACTGAATTAAATAAAGCTGGTCCGATCTGAATATGCTCCAGTTTTTTTTATACAATATATTCAGAGTCCAGAATTCCAGATAGTTCTGGCCTTCAGGATGTTGCAGTCTGTTTGTGGCTTTATTCTTTGGGTGCCCAATATTTACAATTCTCACATTTAAATGGCTGGCTTCTACAAGGAAGGGCATTAGGCAAGGCCCATTGGCCATGCTGTGGACCATGCAATAGCCCATGGGCCATCAATTATTTGATGCTGATTCAAGCGGGCCGTTGATTAATCTTTGACATTGCCACCCTTGGCTAAAGGCGGTTTTTGGCTGTTGGCGGTTTTTTCGCTTATAAAAGAACCACAGAAAAGAAAACGGTAATGCTCAGGAGCGGACGTCCGACGAATCGGACGCTCTAATCCCTGTCACCCCTGTGCTGTTAGTTAATTAAATTAGAACAGTATAAAATGACGTGGCCTAACTTGCACCACACACATTTTTCTACTTTCGTTCTTATCTCTCCCAACCTCTCTCTCTCTCTCTCTCTCTCTCTCTCTCCAACCATTCTCTCTCGATGAATTTCCGATTCAGCTCAGCCGTCAGATGGGGCGACGACGGCGAGGCGACGCATGGAGGCGGCGCGTCAGGCGGCGCTCCGACAGGGAAGCAAAGACGCCATGGCACTCCGACGAGCGTGGCAGCGAGAAGCGGCGTCAGTGCGGTGAGCGCGACAGCGACACGGGCAGCACTCCGACAAGCGAGGCAGCGGATTGCCGTGATTTCGCCCGATTCCCGTGCGCTTATGGATTCTGTGGGGCAAGGCCGTGGCCGATCTACGCACGCTGCTAGAGCCTGGGAAGGGCGTCGGGCCGCCACTCCCCCACGGCCAGGGGGCGAGCCCGTCAGCCGCCGAAGGAGCTGCTCCGCCGGCAATGGGTTTGGCCGTCTGAGGAGCTCCACGAGGAAGGTTGTCGGGCGCCGGGGCGCTGCCGGGCGCGGGTTGCCGCTCCCCCACGGCTAGCGGCGAGCCACCGCCATCCTCCTCCACCACAGTTTCCTAGCGTCGGATCCTGCTGTGCAGTGCTCCTGCCAGGGTTTATTTCATGTTGCAAGCGTATGTTTCAAGGGTTTCATATGTTTCAGAAAAATATTGCAAGTGTTTCGTGTGGATGTTGCAAAGTAGATCTAAATGTTGCGATGTTGCATATATTTCACACACATGTTGCAAGTGTTTTATCTGAATGTTGCATTTTTAATAAAAGATTTGAATGTTCCTTGCAACACGAAACAGATGTTGCGGCGGGTTTTTTTCCTCATCATCAACGGATGTCTAATAAAATTTTTTCAACATGTTTTTATGTTGCAAACGGTAATTTTCTATGGTGCAGACGTTATTCTTTGATGAATGTCCGATGAAAAGTTTCCCCTTAGCGCGTCAGGCGGTAGCAACGCCCAAAAGAAAAAGGAAAAAAGAACCAGAGAAGGCGAGAGAAATGGCGACGGAGAAGCGCGGGCGTCGACACTCGCCGCCGCCCACCACGCCCGGCGCCTCTCCCACTTCCTTCTCGAATCCCGATCCCACGCGCTCGCCTTCCCCTCCGCCCGACGTTGTCCCAGACATCGCCTCCCGCTTGACCTCCCTCGAGGACTTCTTCGCGCTGCGCGCCTCCTGCCGGGCCTACCGCGCCCTCCTCCCGCCGTCCCACGGGGTCTTCGCCTCCCAGTCCCCACTCCTCCTAGTCACGCTGTTCCCCTCCTTCACCGAGGCGCTCTTCCACCTCTCGCTCCGCCGCCTCCACCGCTTCCGCCTCCCCTAGGGCCACCACCTATCCCTCTCCCGCCGCACCCTCCTCTACGCGCACGGCTACCTCATCACGGTCACCTATCAGCACCCCGTGAAGCTCCTGCTCCTCCACCTCTTCTCTAGGGAGCAGATCTGCCTCCCCAAGGTCCCCGCACCGTTCAGCCGCTTCATCCTCTCCGACGACCTCGCCGTCGTCCTCTTTATGCCCGGCAGTTCCACCATCCAGCACTGCCACCTGGGAGACGCGCTCTGGAGCGTGGCCTGCACCGATGCGCCCATCGTGATCGACGATATGCTCTTCGTCCATGGCACCCTGTACGCTCTAGTAAATGGCCTCCGCCTTGCCATAGTCGAGCTGTCGGATAATTCGCTGGAGCTGTCGTTTCTTGGAGGGGAGCTGGATGACGAGAGCATTCCAGCGGTAGGGAAAATCAGGCTTGGAGAGTGCGGGGGCGAGGTGTTGCTCATCAGTGAGGATCCTAAGGAGATGATGGTGTACCATGTTTACCATTGGGTGTCTGAGGAGGAAACTGGGCTTCAGTCACAAGCTTGGGCAGGAGGACATTGTTTCTTGATTATGATGGATTTGCATCCTGTCTTGGTCCTGATTACCCAGGAATTCGAGGGGATTGCTTATATGCAGCTGGGCGACGCTTGGGTGAATGGCACGAGTACTCCTTGGCTGATGGAACTTGCGATGTTCGATATGCTGAGTATCCAGGCGCACCGCCGCTGAATAACAGGTCACCTGCCAGACCACCAATCTGGGTCTTTCCCAGCTTGTGCTGATGTTGTCTGCGAATTGTTTCTGAGCATGTAAAACATCCGAGACTGACATGGAATCATGGTATGCTTGGTTTTATGATTGGTTTCTGAGTTCGCTGTTGCTTTCATTTCTGTTTACTCTGTTGCTGTAGCAATGAGTATTGAAAATTATATTACCAGTTATTTGTTATGCGGAAAAAGTCTACTTAACCCCCCACCTTTCATACTTGGTCTACTTCACCCACCAAACTATGAAACCATCTGTTTTACCCCCTGAACTTTCCAAAACCGTCTATTTTACCCCCGGGCGGTTTTTGACAGCGGGTTACTACAGCAACAGAGAGTTGCTACAGTAACGACGGGTTGCTACAGTACCGGTGGGTTTGAATTTCCTTTTTTTTATTTATTTTCGGTGAATTTTTGAAAAATCATAGTAAATCATAAAATGAAAAATCTAATTTTATTGGACTCCACATGAGTAGATCTACACAGTGAATATATAATACGGTATGCTTTAGTACAAATTTTTTTTGTAGCTTTAGATTAATTGGAAAATCTATTTTTTCTGTAATTAATTAGAATTTATCTATAACTAAATTATACATAATGCAATAAGTACGAAATTTTTACTATAGTTCAAGCATACAATAATTAGCGTACCATAAAAATTTCACCACAATTGGACCATAGAAGCTGCAGCTATGAATTATTCCAATTAATTACAGACAAAATTAGATTTTCCAATTAATCTAAGGCTACAGTAAAAATTTTGTACTAAAGCATACCGCATTATATATTCACTGTGTAGATCTACTCACGTGGAGTCCAATAAAATTAGATTTTTCATTTTATGATTTTTCTATGATTTACTATGATTTTTCAAAAATTCACCGAAAATAAATAAAAAAAATTCAAACCCGCTGTTACTGTAGGAACCCGCTGTCAAAAACCACCCGGGGGTACAATAGACGGTTTTGGAAAGTTCAGGGGGTAAAACAGACGGTTTCATAGTTTGAGGGTGAAGTACACCAAGTATGAAAGGTGAGGGGTTAAGTAGACTTTTTCCTTTGTTATGCTGATTGAGATAGAGAGTACACTCGTTGAATTTGACCATAAAAATAGATAATGTCGGATCCTGCCCATAAATAAATGGAAGATTTATCTATGCGTTATGCACCTTTTGAGACCTTGGTTGAGCTAATGTTGCTTCTTTCTTGGTATATGTATATCACCATGACACTGCAAGTCTGCAACAAATAATAAGTTCGCCACTGTGTACAAAATTATAAATTTAGTTTTTCATTGCCTGATTTGATAGTACTGGTGATCTGACGTTCACCACTGGTCAACATGTCTTCAACCATCAAGCTATTCATAACTTTCCTCATTGGTATCATTGTATGCCAAACCAATTTCGGACTACTAATGTCTTATAAGAGAGAAGGTCAAGATTACAAATGCAAGGTGGCAATGTACCAAATGCACCAATGCACATAATTAAATTATTTGATAAACTTACACATTGTAGCATTATATTCTAGTGACTTTCATATATGTGAGATAATTTTAGCTCAAGATTTAAGTAAGAAAATATAAAAGATTCATAACTGATGTAAATACAAGTGCTAATCTATCAATTACCTTACAGTTACCTTCAGCCATTTTCATTAGCATATGTCTTCGTTTTCTTGTGCTGTTTGTTGCATCAAATATACCGACCCATAGACAACTTGATCTGTTCAGATCGAGTATAACATTTCATTATTTCAAGCAGGCTATGCAAGTATGCAAAGCTAACTTACCTGACCTCCACCATGCATCCAATCTATCATGTCCTCCATTGCTAAAGCAGCCACCTGGCAACATTTATGCCAGAAGAATAATGTAGCAAGTTGCAAGTAATATACTGAAACAAAGATACAGTTATGCTTTAATATTCTCCTTCTAAAGGTGGTTGTCATAAAATCATGTTAGACTTCTAAAAATGTAGGATGCTAATTTCATATTCTGACCATGGTAGAACCTTCATGAGAAGAATCTAGGAGCTAACCCTAAGTCATAAAACTATAGTTAATGGCAAAGTGTGACTAAATTGAAAAAGAGGCAGGGGACACATTGTACCGGATATAAAATACAAACTCGAAGCACTCAAACCCTACAAGAAGTTTTTATAGAAGCCATTAATAAAATTCTACTTCTATTCCTACCCCATTGATTTGTGGCTCAAAATTACCAGGGTAATCCTACCTAATATCCAGTTTAGAACAAAGAAGGTTTTGAGAAATTTCAGGTCACTTTCAGAGAATACAGTTCAATTCCAGCAGGAATCTGAAAAACTACTGTGTTCCAGTTATGATTACCAAAGTGCTGTTCAAAGGGGGCCAGTGAAAAGATTGCAAGACATCTTTCTTGAAAACATAGAAGAGCATATACTGGTGAATCAGAAGATGGTCTATGATGACACCTATTTTGAATGGACGTAATAGTATTTTGAACTACTAATTAGGAAAATGCATAGTAGTCAATAAAGCGTGCTAACCTCATTACGTGCCTCAATACGGTCAGGATTATCATCACGGAAAAAATCTAAAGACTGAATCAACAAAAATACAAAACTGTTAGATCACTCTAGAACAGGATATTAGGTTTATTGACATAGGCTCAAATAACGGCATTGAAAAATCCAGCGAGATGTACAAGTAGAATATGCGCAAGCATAGTAGCCTTATCAGAAATCACAAGAAGGGACAATAATCAGAGCCAAAGATGTAAAGAACATACAGTAACAATTGTAGAAAGTACTATAACTAAAATAAGGTAGTTTTGAGGATTTGCCACTCCCCTAAGCAGGTATAAAGAAATAAAGATACGCCATTCATGTGCCAATGACATGAGGGTCTTGGAACCACACATCCATAAGAGATAGAAGCGGCATGTCCTGAAACTCAGATTAGGGGAGCGGCTATGTCCTAAAAAGTCCATAAAATTAAAAACCTATACATTAACTGGGTCAACCAATATGAGAAGATCATTAATCATTGTAACGGTAAATATCAACGTGGTGACTTCCACCCTATAACCATCCCAGATCCATGCTGCACCCATGCTAAAGTTATTCCATTAAAATGTGTTCCAAGCATAATGTAAATCATGAAATAAAGTGAACCTAAGAATAAGACAGCCGCAATATGATTGGCTCTAATACACTTACTAAGTATAGTAATATAGCGAAAAAACTTGACACGCTTTTTTTTTTTGCCATGATAACATTTAGCAAAGCATAGATCACATATGCTCCACTAATGGAACTTGCAGCAAATCATAGTTGTTACCTGGTTTGCTCCATGCTTCAGACAGTGATACTGCACATACATTTTCGACAAAAGGAAGGTCAGTTAATTTTGCAAGCAACAAAAGTATACATATTAACTATGCAAGCTAGTCTATCAGAGTAAGAATAACATTACCTTCCCAACATTGAAATGTCTAGTTTCATGACCCAACCAACGAAGGTACCTTGTAAGCTTAACTGCAGTGAAGGTTTTACCACGAGCTGGCAAGCCAACCTGATTTAGGAGTAAATATATTCAGAAGGAGATCCATCTTCTGGAACAAGCTAGCATTCAATACATATTGGGATGTGTTCAAGCAGATAAGGGTTTTTGAACACAAAGGTGACATTATGCTCAGCAGGAAGACAAATATACTTTGTCAAGGGGGCTGGCAAGTTCTGTTTCGGGATTGCAACTGAAGGAGATTTAGATTGTTAGTTCTCTGAATACCCTGTAAAAAATGCACTGCGTACATAAGATTCCTAATTATTTGTTCACTTATATATGCTTAAAAGGGCAATGCTTCAGTCCTGTACCCAACAGCAAAAAGCATAAAATTAAAAGCATGTTGATCGTCCTATTGAAAACCACCCACCAGTAACAATACTGCTCAGGATTCAATTTAGTTTTTCATAGGAACACATCGGTTTAAATCCATCCAAACACTAAAAAGGACATGGTAGGTAGCAAAAATGCAACAGGCAAAGTTTACTTGTCTTGTTGACGAAAGGATCACAAATAAACACTAAACACTGGGATTATATACAAGATGAAAATGTTTAAATTATCACACAATTTCAACTATTTACCAAAACAATGGCCAGCTTCCGGTCCTCCTTTGAACCTTGTAAGCGATGAGCTACAGCTGCAGCTGCAACAGCTCGTGCTGCTTCTGGCATGGTCTGTAGATTGTCAACAATAGTCAAGATGAAAAATACAAACCTCATTCTTAAACATTTCTCAAACCACATCAAGAACCGTTTAATCAATTCAACTGGACAACTATCGGTATTGACATCTAAATATTATCTCTATTAGTCCAATACTACAATATCATTATGCATATGCAGATTCATGCCTACTATCCCCTTGACATGTCAAACAACAGGCTCACTGGGACCATCCCAAGTTCAGTTGGATATCTCAAGAACCTCAACTATCTGTAAGTTCTCTTTACATGGATTTTGATTTGTAAATGTACTATTTGCCTCTTCCTTATGATGTATCATCGATCTGGTTGAATCAAATGTTCTCAAAGTGCCCGCTTCTGCTGTTCGGCAGAGGATTGCGGAACAACGCCATTTCCGGCCATATTCCTCATAGCATAGGAAGGCTTGTGATGCTAGATACCCTTGACATGTCAAACAACAGGCTCAATGGGAGCATCCCAAGTTCACTCGGAGATCTCAAGAACCTTATTTGCCTGTAACCTTTCTTTGATTACTTCATCTTGATTTCCATGGGTTCTCTTGTTGCACTTGTACACTGATTTTTACTGGATTTCTTGTTGCCAATAGGAAACTGAACAACAACAGCTTGTCCGGAGTTGTACCTAATTCACTTGGAACTATTTAGTCCCTTGATTTCCTGTATGCTCAGCAAATCATTTCTTATTGATTTTCTCACCTTTTTTCTGTACCGTTGAAGTAGCAATTTGCTTTGCATTGACCTTGTTTTGCAGAGATCTTTCGTTTAACAATCTAACTGGTCCAATACCTAACATTTCCGTACCACCAGATTTCGAGTAATCAGCTGAGCTTATCCCCTTAATTTCACCTTTGCACATTTAATTTTCACCTTTACAGTATGAGCTCACGCCATAGACTCACCTAGTTACACTTTCATGTTCAGTTTGTGTTGTTCAGACAGCGTAACTGGAAATACAGTTTGCGGTCTCAACCCCTACTCTGTAGAAGACTACTGCTCCCGTGATCAAAAGGGTGAGATGGTTGTGAATTATTCAGGGGTCTGGCTGATAGCCTTCTATTTTAGTAGAAAACTTGGTAAACATTTTCCGCTGCGTGGTACTTATATTTGGAAAAAAAATTTGTCTACGTTTTTACCAGCTCGACCGCGCCATGGTATGGGGAAACTCCAGCGTGTTGCTGTAATATTTGCAGCAGCCGTTGGTTCCGTAGTTTTGGTCGCTGTGGTTGGAATGCTTCTTTGGTGGCGGTATACGCGTACTCAAAAGATTCTTCCTGTTGCTACTTGAAATGGTATATATATGTTTTATCGCGCGCATTCAATCTTATTAAGCAATAATGATGAAAAAATGGTAATTTTGGTGGCTCCTTTTTATCCTTGCAGTTAATGTGAGATATCTTTCTTTTTTTACCCTTCTAGGTTTCGCCTGCTGATCGTTTACGGCGCACCCAACCGATGACGTGCCAATTGTAAGTTTGCATTTGCAACAAGACTACAAGCTTCATCATATCGATGCTGTTTCTGTCCTGGATCACTTGATATGGGTGCGTTTCTGGTTCTTAATATATGTTTTGTGAGGATCTCAACGAATTTTAAGTTGGACGTCGGCTTCTTCAGCTTTGTCCAGCTGGGAATCAGCATCTGTTTACTGAATCTGCTTGTGCCTGTAAACACAATGGAAATATGAGAGGTTTTTCCACCCTTGAAGCGTTGCAATTATTTCTTATCGTTGACACCCATTTCAAGCTCCCTTCGGCATGCGTTGTCATGCCAGGCCGCCAGCGTCCCGACTCAGCTTCACCGTGAAACTCCTCTTGTCGTTCCGCGCCCGCCAAACTCTAACGCCGGCGGCAAGACCTGGGCCCTGACCCCGGCAGGCAAGCCGACGCCCCCGCGCACCTGACGTGTGCCGTCGGCGTTCGTCAGCGTCCGGTTCACCGTGATCGCGCCGACGCCACTAAGGACGGGTAGTTCAGCTCGGCGCAGGTGATCTTGCTCGTGCTCCGGCACTTGTTCCTCTTGTGCATGACAGACTCCACTTGGTCGTCGGCGCCAAGCACGCTGGCGCCAAGCACCGAGCTCCCAACGGCCGTGGTCACTGTGTGCGTCCCATGGCCGATCTCGCTGACCTCGCCGGGCCTCGGCGGCAGCGCGATGGAGTCGTACCCCACGCGGACGACGTTCCTATTGCACACGCACGTCACCTCCGCCCGCCGGCTCCTCGCACTTGCCGCACCACCAGGGCGGCGGGACCAGCAAGCCGTCTCCGTGGAACGAGACGTGCCTCAAGTCAACCGTCGAATCGATGACTGCCCATACCCGTGCCTTCGTCCATGCGCCCGGGCCCGTCCCACGCGGCACGCGCCGTGGGCGTGGCCGTGCCCGCCCACGCCCGGCGCCGCCCTCCGCCCCAGGAAGTCCGGCGTGCCGCGTGCGCGTCGTCCGCATCGCGCCGGCGCGGTCAGGGTGCACGACCAGGACGTCGTCCCAGGCCGCGACACTCACGGCCTCACCGTCCGTGACGTGGCAGTGGAATGTGGTTGTGCATTTCCGGTGAGCGCTCTACATGCACCGGTCCTTTTCCCTTCCAAACTAACACTTGCAATCAAAGCCTCTAATTCTCAAGTAAAAGTCAATGTAAAATGACCATCCATACCCCTATTAAGTAGAAAATTATATGATAGGAGTATATGTACCATAATTTCTTTTTTTCCCCCAAAGTATTTGATTACAGTGAACTAGTGGAAATAACTCCACTTTTGATATTTTTAATGGACAGATATTATGAACCGTTTTCTTCCAATACAGGGAAGAACACATAGCCGGAACAGAAATGCTATACAACACCCATGTGTTTTAGAGAAAAAAAACACATGGATTTTTTTTAGCAAGGAGCGAGCGCCTGACGGTAGGAACGAATTGGTTGGTGCGGCAGAGTAAACGCCGACTTGACATTGCCTGGAGAGGAGAGCTCCGGTACAGGCGCGCTCATCTTGTGGGAAAGGCGCGAGACTGGGGAGACGGGCAGCAAGCCCGATGTCCGCCAGATCCGGCTCTAGTAGCCTCTCCTCTTTCTCTGCTGTGATTTGTCCTTCCATGGAAAAAAAATTGTTTCTTGTGATCTATGATCTTGTGATTGTTTGGAGATAGAAGAAGGCTGGAGGCTGAAGGAGGATGAAGACTGTTGGATCTTAATTCTATAGTGCAAAAAAATTCATATGTTGAAACTGCATAAAACACATGGTTGTTGGATAGACAGACTTTAGCGGAACGGAGGGAGTATACGACAAACCCTTTTGCGGATATGTATTAAAAATAAAAAGTCACTACATTCATCCCTTAATCCCCAAAATCACCACCCCTGATCACCGAGATCGAGCTCATGTCCAAGCACACAATGAGATTCCAAAATCCTCTGCCTCCTGCTCCTATAGTTGCATCCGTACGCCGTCTCCGGGAACGCGGCACTGGCCAGCGCCCGCCTGACACCCTCCTCCAGAGCCTTCACGCGGCCAGCACTCGCCGCACCGCCCTCCTCCCCGCACAGCACGAACTCACACCGCGCCCTGCCTCCGAGGGAGGCCATGTCTGCTCTCAGCGGCCTCAGCCTCAGACCACGGAGCGCTCCGGCGAGGTCGGCGAGGAGGCCCGGCCGGTCGTCGCAGCTGACGGAGGCCTTGATGTACGCTGCCGGCCTCCCGTAGCCGGCGGCGGCGCCGCCCGTGCGGCAGTTGACGGTGATGCCGTTGGCCTCTGCAGGGATGGGCAGTGGAGGTGTGGTTTCGGCCGCTTTCCTCTTCAGGTCCTTCAGCTGGCAAACCACCCTGGCTAGCAAGGTGGCCTTGTCCATCTGTTCATGAGCAGACAGTAACATTTCTGTTAATCATTTTTTTTGGCAAAACTCTGAAATGGCAAGAAGTGCAGAGTTCATGCAGACCAGCCGAGCATCAGGGATCATCCTCCTTAGGGCAGCGAGATGGGCGTTGATCCTCTCCCGCCGCCGCCTCTCGGCCTCGCTGTGTACCTTCATGGTCTGCGCCTCCGTCGCGCTCCTCCCCGACGACGGCGGCGGCGGCTCCTGCGCGGCCGGATGCGGCACCGAGCTGGCCTGTCGCAGAGGCAGAGCCGTGCCTCTGTACACTGGAGGAAGAACAGAACCACCATGGTGCAGTGGCAGATGCTGCTGTGGCTGCTTCCCTTCTTGAAACGGTTGGCATGCAGATGCAGTAGCCATTTGTTCTGAACCACCGTGTCCTCTCTCACAAGTGAAACCTCAAAAGCTGCAAGCCTGCGACTGCAAGAAAAAACCATCAGATTTCATCATGATGACTAAAAAAGTAAAAAAAAAACTCATGAAAAACACAAGAACATGAACATCAAAAGACGAGACAGATGGATGGATAAATGTTGTCAGCTTGAAGAAGGATCACATTCTCCTTACCTATGACTATGAGAAGCTTGGGTGTGTCGGTGCAAGTGTGAGCTAGTGAAGGAAGTGAAGAGGCCAAACTCCAAAGGCTACTTAAACCACTGCAGCTGGCCAGCTGCCATGGTCGATGCAACAAGAACAGCAACAGCGTTTCTGGGGTAGATGGATATGCTTGCGAACCCGATTGTCACCTCGATCATGATATAATAGTACTTGATCTGTGCATGTGTGCCACTGTTGACCAACTACCCCCAAGAACCTCTTTTTTTCCACACTTGTTTCCCACTAGGGGACGCTCCGTCATCTTGGATCAGCATGGATGCTTGTGATCTTGGGATTGGCATGGGCACTAGAACCGCACCCCTTTTATTCATTATTCTCCTTTTGTTTTGGTGGGGGGGGGAGTGTGAGATGATGGATGGGCGGTAGGTTCAATTGGTCAAAAGGTACGAGCGAGCCAAATTTCATGGAAGATTTGGTTTCGAAAAAGAATAGTTATGAAAGATACAGGACACAGAGCTCGACTAGATTGCCCACAACCCCATCTGCTTTCGAATAAGTGGCGCGTTTTATACATCAATAGTTCAATACAATATTGAAATATAGTTGCACGCAATAGATTGTTATTACAGCAATCTATATATGGCCATCGGGCCGGCCCGGCACGCCCCGCAACTTCTTGGGCCGGCACGGCACGTCGTGCCTGCGGGCCGTGCCAGCACGGGCCTCGTGCCTGGCATTAGGCCCAAGCACGGGCCTGCGGGCTGATTTTCGGGTCGTGCCAGCCCGATCAGCCCGACGAAAATATCGGCCTGTGCCAGCCCACAGCCCGCAATTCTGTAAACACGCCAGCAAATTCAGCTCTAACTTCAGTTTTTAAATTTAGAATCAAATTTCACATAAAACATAAAGGATAAGATATCACAGATTCACAATCACAACTCACAATCACAAGTTCACAACTAGACCGGATTCAAAGATAACAATTAACAACTATACCATTGACCAGTGACCAGTCACAACTCACAAGTATGAAGTATTTTAATAGATTCACAACTCACAATCAGCCTCTTCAAGTGCCCAGTTCCATAAACAGATCTAGCAGACAAAGTAGCCTTACACACTTTGCAAACAGCTTTAGTGCAAATTCTACTGCCGTTCACATTCTCATAGATCTCATCAAAGTCAGCCCAGACAGGAGATTTGCGCTTACCAACTCTGGTTGCATTACCAGAAATAGATGGAGCAGAGCTGTTGGTGTTGGAGCCAGTCCCAGCTGTCGTCGCCCCTTCACCACCGCCGCCGTCCAGATCGATCGGAGCCTGGCTGGCTCCAAGATCGACACCGAACAAGGCAGCTGTGTCCTCTCAGAGGTCGTCGTCGTCCTCGCCCTCGGGGGCCATGCTCGGTAGGACGGCATCGTCATCCGCCATGGCAGTGACCGCTCCGGCCCCGTTCCTCGACGGTGTGGGTGGCCACCGAGCTCGCTCTACGCCGCAGCTAGAAGAGGAAGCATCGGCTACCGACCTGCAGATCAAGAAACACATCAGATGACAGAATCAGATCAAGAAAGAAGATGCTAGGGTTAGGGTTAGGGTTTACCTGCGCAACCGGAGCCCGGTGCCGGAGAAGACGATAGACCGTTAGCAAGGACGGCGAGCGGCGGAGGAGGGATGACACTGACAGGAACACGAACTCACATATCACCAAGAGGGGAAGGGAGAGGGGAGAGGAAGGAGATCAGGGAGGAGAAGGGAAAGGCTGGCCGGCGGCGGAAGGCAGATCAAGCTCACCGGAGTCGATGAGGTCGGACGCCGAGGAGACGGCGGTGCGGCGAAGGTGAGGCGAAGACGAGAGCGGTGTGGGCGCTGCGCGGCGAGTGGAGTCGAATGGATTAGCCGATTAGGGTTAGGTGAGGAGGGGCGGCGGCTGCCGCGGCGTGTCCCTTATATATGAAGGGAGGGGCCGAGTGTGGGCTGATGATGGGCCAAAATGGCCGTTAATTTGGCGGTGGCGGGGTAGCCGTTGGGGGGCTGGCTGCCAGGGCCATTGTCGGGCCTCCCTCCATTTCTTGTGTCGGGCCGTCTGGCCCACGGGCTTGGGGTCAGCCCAAGCACGGCTGAAAGCAATGGCAGGCCAGCCCGGCCCGAGTTTCATCGGGTCGTGCGGGTTCGTGTCGGGCTTTTTTTTCGTGCTTCGTGTTGTGCCGTCGTGCCTCGTGCTGCATGGCCAAGTATACAGCAATCCAAATTATTTATGATTTGCGGTCAACAGCAGGTGTCACTAATTTATTTGGAAAACAAGTCATTTTATAAGTTCTCGTAGTCTTGCTAATAAGGGTATTTCTCATTTTTCTTATATATAAAAAATAGTGTGGCGTCGATCACATGAATCCGAACAAGCTCAATTATTACATGCCGATGAGATCGGATCATCATTTGTAGGGTATGGAAATTTTAACATGAACGATCATTATCGGCGGGAGTGATTATGTTTCGCTCAGAACGCAAGCGATATGACGTGTGCTGGGATGGTGCGCCATGGTGGGGCACGGTGCGATACGTCCAACGGTGGGTGGTGGCCGGGAGGACGGCTGGGCGTGTCCGTAGCTGCGTGCCGCCGCCCCGCCCTCCGCTTTCACATCACGCCACGCTTTGCGGCTTCACACAGGGCGCGCCTCCCTCTGTGTACGCTAGTAGATTCGTCTCCCCGCCACCACAGGTACGGATTCTGCTCGTCGCCGCCCTCGTCTCTCCCTAGGTCTGGTTTAGATTAGGGTTAGGAATTAGTATTTGGTACTGTAGCATTTTTGTTTGTATTTGACAATTATTGTTCAATCATGGTCTAACTAGGCTCAAAAGATTCGTCTCGTAATTTACAATCAAATTGTGTAATTAGTTATTTTTTTATCTACATTTAATACTCTATGCATGTGTCCAAAGATTTGATGTGATGGAGAGAGAAAGAAAAACCTTGCAATCTAAACAAGGCCCTGGACTACTCCTCGCCCCGTCGCCCGCCTCCCCGCCAGCCGCCGCCGCAGATCCGGGTCCCAGACCCTGCCTCCCTGCTTTCTTTTGGGGTTTTCTTGGGGCCAGGGATTATGTTGTGAGCTTGCTTTTTCATAATTTGGGCAGCCAGATCTGCGACCAAAGGGAGAAGCCGGGCAGCCGGCCGGATGCAAGGACGAATCAGCCCACAGGCATGGTAATTGAGGTAATTATCTCCTGCATCATTGAGATTTTACAACTAGTTAGACTCGTAATTTATCTTGCCTTTAGCTGATCTACTTTAATTATGCTAATCTTCATGACATGAAGCAGGTTTGGGTAGATATATATAGTACAAATTAATGAGGAGGTTTCTGGCACCATTTCAAATCCTTTCTGCAAACAAATGCTAAATTAATAGGAGCATTGCGCTGGTAATGTTCGCCAACAGTTCGCCCTAAATCAAGTACTGCGTACTTCCTTCATCCCAAATTGCAAGACGTTTGATTTTTTTGACCCCAAGTTTGACCACTCGTGGGCCTGTTCGGCAGGACTGAAAAATACTGTTCTGACTGATTGTTGTGAGAGAAAAATACTGTTATGGCAGGACGTGAATAGTGATTCCGTGAGTTAGCTGGCCAGCCAGCCAGCCGGCTTAAAAAAAATATGCAAATATAATCAAATTTAAGTCATTCTTGAAGAATTTTTATTAATAAACCAAACCACGACGAAAGAAGTGATATTTTACACAAATTTTTAAATAAGACGAGTGGTCAAACTTGGTGTAAAAAAGTCAAACGTCTTATAATTTGGGATGGATTGAGTACTGTTTCGTGGAACTGCACGCACGCATGTTTGAATACAAACTTACAATGCTCGTGCTATTATAGGGGTTTTTATGGGGATCATGGTCTGATCTCGCGTGGGCATAATTTGGGTGGCCGCAACGTACTCCGAAGCAGCAAGAGCAACCAGATCGTCTATTGTGAGGTCAGGAGCTGGGCGGTCGGCCGGACGCAAGCAGCAGCCTGCGGCTAGTGCCACACTTAAGTAATTTATCTCCTGTGCATTAATTATTGAGATTTTAGAATCGTCTAGACTTGGGAAACAAATAGCCTAGGTAATGTCGTTCGCCAACAGTTCCATCCTAAACCAAGCTGTTCTACGTACTTTTTTCTGGAACCGGGACACAGCTGACATGTTTGAATAATTGAATCCAACTTAATTAGCATGCTTGGTTTAGGATGGATTCAATTAGACTTGGGCAACAACCGCTTTTCTAGTTTCCAACGCGAGCAACGTCCCCTTTTTGTTCCCCTGCCCTATTCATGTGGGCGTCCTTGAGGCATATGTGCAGCTGCGCGGTGTTTCAAACAGAAGTAGTCCCCAGATTTTTAGAAAATGTCTGAGCATTCTTCTTTATTTCTAAAAAAAAATACAAATTAGCTTCCCCAAATAAGAAAGGAAGCATGAGCACCAAGAGAGCTAGCACAATACTGATTCTAAAATTGTAAAATCCCTCACTATCCGATGCACGTACTGTTTCTCTCGATTGGGAAACAAAACCATCTGGAATTTGTGAGAAGCAGGTTGGTAATGCGCTAGTAGCTCCACAGTGCGATGTCAGCAGTGCCATGCTCGACGTCCTCCCACCACGCTCCCGCTCCGGCGGCGGCCGGCGCGTCCACGAGCAGCCCCTGCGCCAAGCTCTCGTAGTACGATGCGGAGTCAACCATGCCGCCGAATCTGAACATGTCGTCGAGCTCGAACGTGACGTCCAGCGACGGCGTTGCGCCAGCAGAGGCACTGCCCTCC